AGAAAGGTTTTGGGGTTAAAACTCACTTTGGAAAGGAAGATCCGATTCTGCGAGGTTGTGTTTTGTTCGGTCGATTTGGAGTCCTTTTACTACTCCGTTTTCTTCAAAACAGACCTCCACGGATTCCTTGTCTTTATATATTTCCGTAGACACCTCACACGCCTTATTTGGACGACTGGAGCTCAAGATACGTAACAGACAACACCACCCTCTCACTGCTCGAGTTTATACGCAGCAGCTCACTCAACCTCGAATATGATCTGGAAATATCTTCATCCTCGCACAAAAACCACCCAATAAGTCAAATAGACTTCAAGGGCTATCCAGGGACACCTTATACATCTCATTTGGTCGAGTAAAACTCCAAATATGGAGGAAGACAAATCACACCCATGATTTGTGCGGAAATTGGCAAGGTGGGTCTCCCCCTTTGATCTCTTTGTCATGTCCAGCCCCCCAATGCCAGATATGGCCGCCCTTTAGAATTATTTCTCTTGTATTTCAGGTGATAAGAAGATCTGGAACACATCTTAGTGTTCCCCAATTATTTTGGGAGCAAAATATCAACCAATACTTCCAAAGATAGAAAGAATGGGTCCTATTGTTTTATCTTTTGTCATAAGATGTCTTTTGTACTTATTCTAATTTATTTAGACCAAGTCAAAATATCTACATCATATTATTGGCCCCTAATATGTGTAGGAAAATCCCAATAATTTATATGATGTTTAATTATGGAAGAAAACTCTACTCCCATTACTTAGCTCAATAATGCCTAAGGTGGGATCATAGGGGTTTGTATTGCTCTCTAATCAATACATCACTTATTTGTGACCTTGTATTTACATTATTGGGTTAAAAGTCGGGTGGGCCACTCTCGAGTGGGGCTATGACGTCATTCTTAAATACTTACTATTTTTGGCAGGTTGGGCCCAAAATAACATTTGGACTGCCCGACCTCCTTTATTTCGTATCGAAGGGTTATAAAATAATTTTGGCCCCCTATATCCAATAAGATGACCCAATTAAGTATTTGAAAGTCCATTACTACGTAGTATTATACAAGCTCGAACGGCAGTATGATCAATCATGCATTACATAAAACATTACTCGTTTTACAATTGTTCGATAATAAGGAAATCCAATACATAAACTTTGAAATTTAATTTGAATTTCAAGGACGTTCGGGTGCGGTGTCACATGGCCCATACTTCCCTGGCAGGCCCGGTCCTGACGGGATAAAGGCCTTGTTCAAAATCAAATAAAAGGCCCTAAACTATAAAGTATAATATAAAAAAAATGCATGTAAAACTAAAATACAAATACAATTATAAAAAGATAATGAAAAGTATCAAAGTAAAATACTGAGTAATATATTTTGAATTTAAACTAGATTTTGCCTGAAATTCCCATTTATTTGAAAAAAATATCCAACTTCTAGAACCACTCATGTCTAAATGAATAAAATAAAGAACCAAAGGGCGTACTCTCTATTGAGTTTATCGTTTTTTTGCAATTCTCGAAGACAACTCCAAACATACTCCGTATCAATAAAATTATTAGTATTATCCCTAAATACCCAATATTTGGAGGCCTTTCATTACATGGGGCCCTATGCGGTGGCTCTGGTTGAACACCCTCAGGATCGGCCCTGTTCCCTTGCCTGCTACTGTGTTACTAACATTGTCATGGATTAGGGCAGCTGTTTTAACAATTGATCAAGTCAAATGGAAGCCACATGCCAGTCAATCTGGCCATCCTCTTTTCTGCCGTGCACTGAATGAGGCATCTTCTAAATCACGGAGGGGCAGCAACGGATTCCCATTTGTGTGGCTGGAGATTTTATAGGCCGTCTCAGCCGGATATGGAGGCGAGAGAGACGACCCTTGCTCATTAAGGGAGGGAGGGGTATGCCTGTGATGGTTACTATCGGAAAAGTGAAAGGTGGGGTCGTCGTTGGTCTGGAAGTGCAATCGCTCCTCGTCACTGCTCTCACCGGAGAGTGGAAGAGGGTTCATCGGAACCGCTGCTGCTCGGGTCGTTTTTTGGCGAGGCCTGATCTCCGGAACGAGCCTTCCGTTTGACCACTGAAATGAACCAAGCTGGCTCCTCAAGCACTCTAGTATGGCGGTGCGAACTGGATGCAGACGTCTTAGCGACGGATGACGAAGACCACAACTCCGGCTTTGCTGGCGGCGACGTCTACAAATGCGGCAACGGGTGAGCTCTAGGGCGGTGATGAGGTCTGACAACGAGATCCGGAGCCTAGCGCACGATAGTGGGTGGTTCTCGTTGCTTCGATTCCCCAGAGGGCAGATTCCATTTTTTCAGAATTGTTATAGGATTTTCCAGAACAATTTTTGCTGGATTTTTTTTATGGTTAATTGGGTTGGGGAGGAATCTCACTTGATTGTGTTCAAATTTCTCAACGAGAGCATCATTTGATGTATTATTGATACCCATATTGTATAAATTAGGAAATATTGAACAAGAAGAGAGAAGAGATGAGTAGTGTATCAAGAGTGACTTTGTGACTTAGGTTTACAAGCCTCCTATAATGAGTATATATAGGGAAATCCGGGTCTGGCCCTCTAATATGGGTCCAACAGACCTGGTTACATAAATGGACTAATAGTATAAAAGCTAATCTAGTACATACAATGAATATGTAAATTATACAGTAATATAAATGTTGTATGCTGGTGTACGTGAATCGCTGTTCAGACTCAATAGTCGACAGGCCGGGGGGTCGGGGTTCATATACTCCATCAATTGTTTTCCTCCCAACTATTGTATCATTTTAAATCAAATCACATTTTTTAGTGAAAGCCAAAAAAAAAAAACGAAACCGAACCGAAACAAACCAAACCAATTAAATCGTGGTTTCAAGTTTTGAAATGGAAAATCGAATCAAAATCGAACCGAACTTTTTACTTTGGTTCCGTATTTGATTTTGGGTCAAAACCACATCGAACAAACTGAACCCACCCCTAATACTTACTATCTTCTTTCCATTAACATTGAGGTATGATGAAGTGACACACTTATTAAAAAAGCGAGTTTAAATGATCGATATTGAATTGATAAAATAAAACTAAATTAAGAATAATTTGAAACCACACAAATTTTATCAAATTTAGTATGGAAAATCTTAATGGATGAACCGAAAAGAAAATATCAAATATTCTTAACTGGACGGAGGGAGTATTTTTTTCAAATTTTTTGAGTGCTCGTGTGAACACTTTTGAACAATGGTGGCTTTGCCCGTTGGTCGTGCTTAATTGTAAAAATCATGAAAGCTAATAGTAAGCATGTGATTTATTAGGAATAAACTTATTTTTATTTTAAAAGGAAGCCTCGACAAGAAAATAGAAACCAAAACGTATTGTTAGTGAGAAATCTTGAGTTCTATTTCTATCACGTGAAAATGATGGGGTCATGCAAGCTATGATAATGCACATTAAGGTTGAAAAAGGTGATGCTGATAATGGTATAATATTTGTTGGATATGTCTTTAATTTGATTAGACGATACTCCTTTTGCCCCTATTATTGTTTCATTTTCTTTTTCATTTGTATTACTAAGTTTGCAATATTTAGCAATATTTGTGAGTTTTAATTCGAACTCCATGCAATCATACATACTTTATTGTGCCTTACTTTGTTTTCGGAATAATCTTCTAAAATTATTATAGTATCTGCTGATGTTGATGACAACGTATTGACATGAGACTCGAACTTTCAAACTTTCTCTTTGTGAAATCAAAGGTGATATCACAAGGTACTTGTCTAAGGTTGCCCGAATTGCAAAGGGTGAAAAGCACAAATGTAAGGTATTCACCCTCAAATTTGCTCTAATCCAAGCAAAAAAATGTATACGTAGGAGCTAAAGTGGATTGGGAAAACCCATGGCGTCAATGTGTGCTACCCGTATTGACTCTTGGAGAGAGGAAAGGCTTGGTCTCATGTGCTAAACAAGGATGCAATTTGACAAAGGGTCCCAACAAAATCAAAATCTTAATTTTCTTTAAACTGTTTTATCTCTTTAATTTTTACTCTAAATTTTACAAAAAATATATCAAAATTCATAACTTTTTCTGATCTTTCATATGACACCAGTCATGGATATATACAGTTAAAAAAATTAGTTTGATATTTTAACATTAAAAAAATTAGTTAAGAAAATTCACTCCAAATTTATTTATTTTTACATCGTAATGTTTGATATTTTAAATCATAATTATTTGCAAAAATAGAATTTACAAAAAAAAATATGTATAACAATAAAAGTAAGGATTTAACTAAAAAAGAATATGTTGAGTGAATATATTGACGGTGTTGGGTTGTAAGGAAAAACTTAATTTAGTGAGTGAATACGTATAAACTGGTGTTATATTAGATTTAGGGAAAAGTACGAAAAAGGTACTTGTGGTTGAGCCCGTATTCAGATAGAGTCATGTGTTTCATTCTTTATCAAAGTGGTTCATGTGTTTGAATTCCGTTATCACAAGAGGGTCACACCGTTAAAAACGTCCGAAAAAGACCGTTAAAAGTAACTTCGATTTTCAAAAATGCTCGAAAAATTAAAAGAAAAATATCGGAAGATGCGCCTCAATAAGACGACAGCTAGGCCATCTTTCTTTTAAAAATTAATTCAAACATATCTGAAAAATCCAAAGGCGAAGGTGGTTTGGAGATATCTTGATGAGGCGCACCTTTCGGTATTTTTTTTTTAATTTTTCAGGCACTTTTGAAAACCGGAGTTACTTTTAACGGCCTTTTCAGACGTTTTAACGACATGACCCTCTTATGATAACAGAATTCAAACACATGAACTACTTCGATAAAAAACGAAACACATGACTTTATTTGAAAATGAGCCCAACCACAAGTACCTTTTCCGTACTTTTCCCTTAGATCTATTAGCCTAATAGCCTCTTACTAATTTATGTAAAATCACATTATTCTGAAAAGTTAGTTCCGTAATATGATGAGGAAAAGGTGACACCTCCCAATCTGGCTCGTGAATTTGTCTTTTGGTACCGTTTCTAAGACTGGGGAATTACAACGGCGTCTATGACTGGATATCCCCCTTCATTTAACAAATTCTTCATTTCCTTCATGCATCAATGTCTGGGTGGTCTCAGCTCCCTCCAGATCTTATAGACCTAATCGCCAGACACATAAGTTCTGAAATCGATTTCATCCGCTTCCGTTCCGTCTGCTCTTCCTGGCGATTCTCTGTCCCGGAGACACCCTACCGCTCTTACCCGACCCGCTTTCCTGTTATTCCAAATGACGGAATCTCTGATGCTAGTTGGGGCTTTAAGCTCTCAAGGCGCACCATTTACTTGATCCGATCACCCGGAGATCATGACAGAACCGCCTCCGCATCCAATTCCTGGATTGTTAAACTCGGTTCTGATTCCCCCCACCGATTGCGATTGCTGAATCCTCTTTCCAGATCTCATTTGAAGCCACTCCCTTCGGATTTCCCCAAATGTGTTGATATCTCGCGATACCCCATTCTCGAATTGGGGCAAGAGTACGCTCTTCACTTCATAAACTACAGACCTTTGGCTAATTCAGTTGGTGAGGCTGGCAATTTGTATATGGAGAAGGTCGCCTTGTGTCCGGATAAACACTCGTCAGGGTTCGTGCTTTTAACCATTCATGTTTCCGGGAGATTGGTTGTTTATAGATCGGGTGCTTCGAACTGGACAGTCATCAACGACCTGAGTTCACCCTACGATGACGTGATCACCAAAGATGGTCGCTTTTATGCAGTTGATAATACTGGTAGGACTGTGGTTTTTAATATGGACTCCATGGATTTTAGTGACATTGCGAAACCTGTTTTTGGGGGAGACAAGAAATTCCTGGTGGAATCTTGTGGAGACTTGTTAATGGTTGATAAGTACTTAACTGTGGGGCCCAAGGATGATCTCGGATACAGTGAAGAGTTTGAATTCTACGAAGAGCTCGATTGTTTCATGAACGAGAGAACTCTGAAGTTTAAGGTTTATAAATTGGATGAAGAAGGGCATCAATGGGTTAAGGTTTCAAGTTTGAAGGACAGGATACTCTTCTTGGGAGAAAATTGCACATTTTCTGCTTTGGTCTCTGACCTTAATTCTGAATGCAAAGGGAACTGTATATTGTTTGCAGATCTCTTATTGTACGACAAGGATGAAGAAGATGAAGGAGGAGGTGTGTGGACGTTTCATGGTATAGGCATGTCTGACTTAGAAAGTGGCAACATTGGTCCTATTAGTAGTAATGCTGGTTATTCTGAGCTTTTTTGGCCTCCTCCTCCTTGGATCTCATCTACTTCAGATATTGAAGTAAGTGATTCTTGGTCTTTTGTTTACTTATTCAATTTGTGTTTTCTACTGTTCTTGCTTGTTCAGGTATTCAGACAAGTATGCTATATTTGGCCAAGGCTCATTACATGTAGTTGAGTGTTAATGATCCACTCTGATGCTCAGTGTTAGACGTAGCACGGTAGCACTGCAGTTCTAAGTGCTGAAAATTACTATAGACTTAATATACTCCGTAGTATTGTTTACCTCTAAAAAATATTGCCAACAATAAACTATTGGCTCTTCTCCATACCTTTATCCCAGGTTTCCTTTTTTGTCTGACCATTGATAATATTTGTGAGTTTCTAATTCATTCTAACTTTATTTATACTTTCAAATTCAAAGTCAAGTTGTCAACCACATAATTCAACCTTTTTTTAATAATCGTGTGGCTTCCTCATATCCCAATCTTGAATGGGCAGAGGTAGTAATAAATGTAGTTAAAAGAAATAAACTACAGTATATAAAATAATACAATGAATTATTAGACCAATTCTACACATGTTTCTTTGCATGTATTTTTCAAAACATGGTGTGTTAAGATGAACGCCTTTGGAAAAGAGCAGGTCCCCCATGTCTATGCTTCTGAAGATGATCTTACTCTGGTCTCTGGAACACATATTATGCATATGTGTGTTACTATATCACATATATATGTTATTGTTGAACTGTTAGGCATCCAGTAAGACGAGTTACTTCCCGTTTTAGAGATTATATAACTTTGGTTCACCTAATAAACATGGTTCATTTACCAGAATTTGTCCCGCTTCACTTTAGGTGTTGCCATTGCAATATTGGTTAGGCCCTATTTTGGCGAAATTTGAGTTATATATGTCTTTATGAATATGATCATGATAGATAATGAATATCAGTTACATAAATCAGATGTTTATAACCTTGATAACCTATTAGAAAACGAACTCAGATGAAAAGTAGGAGATTTCAATTATATTGATTACAAGAGTCAATACGAGTATTTATAGTAGAATACAAGTAACTAACTCTAACAGCCTGTATAACAGCACTAACAGCCTAAGGTATATCTAGAAGGTTCCAAGCTATTTACAATAAACGTATGTAACATTATTTTATATTCCTAACATTCCCCCCTCAAACTTAGGGTGATTGATTTGGAAGGTCGGTCAATCACACTAAGTTTGGCTTTTAACTCAAGAAAAGAAGATGCAGATAAAGCCTTTGTCAGAATATCAGCAATTTGTTGGGAAGCAGGAATATGGAACACTTCAATCTGCTTGGACTGAACTTTCTCCTTCACAAAAAAGAGATCAATCTCCATGTGTTTTATCCTGGAGTGTAACACAGGGTTGTGGGCAAGCTGTACAGTGCTGAGGTTGTCACAGTAGATTTTTGGAGTAGAGAATGATACTTGAAGTTCTTTGAGTAGGAACTGAAGCCACAGGAGTTCAGCTGCAGTGTCTGCTAAACTTCTGTATTCAGCTTCTGCAGAGGATCTGGCCACTCTCAGTTGTTTCTTGGACCACCAAGAGATGATGTTTGACCCAAGAAAGATGCATGATCCAGAAGTAGACCTTCTGTCAATTAGGTCAGATGCCCAATCAGCATCACAGAAGGCAAAGATAGGTAAAGGCATAGTTTTCAGAGGTAGAGGTTTAATGATGATGCCATGTGTTATAGTACCAGATAGATATCTGAGAATGTGTTTTACTGCCTTCCAGTGATCTTGTAGAGGTACTGCCATGAATTGACAAACCTTATTTACAGCATAACTAAGTTCTGTCCTTGTAAGAGTTGCATATTGCAGCATGCCAACAATGGATCTGTAAGTGGAGGGATCAGGAAGAGTAGCACTTCCTGTATTGGTTAGCTTGCAGTTACTAACCATGGGAGTTTTCACTCCTTTGGAATCAATCATGCCAGCTTGATGTAATAAATCTCTGATGTACTTGGTTCGAGAGAGATGAAGACTTCCATCAGGTAGCTTTTTGACTTCTATTCCTAGGAAGAAGTCAATGTCACCCAAGTGCTTGAGAGAAAAGGATGAGTGTAGTTTGTAAATAAGGTTTTGAATTGCTTTAGAATCATTGCCTATGACCAGAATGTCATCTACATATATTAATATGTAGATCTGAACTCCTTGAGACTTGAAGAATAGGAGAGATGGATCACATTTACTTTGCTGAAACCCTGCTGTATAAAGAACTGAAGTCAGTTTTTGAAACCAGGCCCTAGGAGCCTGCTTTAGGCCATATAATGACTTGTGAAGTTTGCAGACTAAAGTGGTGTCCTGTGCCTGAAAGCCTGGGGGTTGGACCATGTAGACTTCTTCATCAAGTGTTCCATTTAGAAAGGCATTATTGACATCTAATTGCTGAATGGACCAATGATAAGAAACTGCCAAAGTGAGCAATATTCTGATAGTGATAGGTTTGATCACTGGAGAAAATGTTTCTTTGAAATCAAATCCAAACCTTTGATGGAAGCCTTTGGCCACTAATCTGGCCTTATATTTGTTAAGAGAACCATCAGGGTTTTCTTTAACTCGAAAGACCCATTTACAACCTATAGCTTGTTTGTCAGGTGGTAAAGGAACTAAAGACCATGTTTGATTTTCTATCAAGGCATTATACTCATTTTTCATTGCAGAGAACCACTGAGGAGATGTGAGTGCTTGCTTCACTGACTGAGGCTCAACATGTGCTAACAGCAAGGTAGGATTAAGTCTAGGTTTAATAATTCCTGATTTTGATCTAGTTTGCATAGGATGAGTGTTAGTTATATGAACAGAATTTGAAATTGAGGAAGTAGAGTCAGATGATGAAGGAGAAGGTGGTTGATTAATAGCTTGTTGATGTAGGGATGGACTGGGAGTAGAGTTGTTGGAATTTGCTGAAGAATTATGAGTGGAAGGAGTAGATGAATGGCTTGCTGATTGATTGTGATTATTAGAAGAGATGAGTTGCAAGGCAGTGTGCTGGGAATTATTTGATGAGAAGTTATGAGACTGAGATTGAGATGAATTAGAACCAGAAGAAGGATTTGAGTCTAAAACAGTTAATATGGCAGAATCTGAGTTATGAATAGGTTTGGTTGTGGGAATAGAAGATTGGGATACAGATGAATAGGGAAAACTTGATTCATGAAAGATGACATCCTTTGAAATGTACACTCTGCCAGATTTTGAAAGACACTTATAGCCTTTATGCTGAGAAGAATATCCTAGGAATGTACATTCTTCTGAGTGAAAATCAAACTTGTGTTTATTGTAAGGTCTGAGAAAAGGATAACAAGTGCAACCAAAGACTTTAAGAAAAGAATAATCTGGAATAGATCCATAAAGTTTAAAATATGGGCTGGAATTGGCAATGGACTTAGATGGAGTTCTGTTGATAAGGTGCACAGAGGTTGCAAATGCAGCATCCCAGAACTTAAAAGGTAAAGAAGAATGGGCTAGGATTGAGAGACCTTTTTCAACAATAGTGCGATGTTTCCTTTCAACCAAACCATTTTGATGATGAGTGTGGGAACATATGATTCTGTGAGTGATTCCTTTGTCATTGAGGAAATTAGTGAAGGATCTAAATTCTCCTCCCCAGTCAGACTGTACAGATTTAATGGATATTGAAAATTGATTGAGAATCAAGTTGTAGAAATTTTGGAATGCTAGAAGAGCATCAGACTTATTTTTCAGGAAATATATCCATGTATATCTTGTAAAGCCATCAATAAAGGCTATATAATAGGAATATCCATCAAAAGATACAATGGGTGCTGGACCCCAAAGATCTGTGAATATTACTTCAAAGGGTTTATGATAAACAGTATTAGAAGGATGTGAAGGAAGTCTATGTGCCTTCCCAAGACAGCAAGCAGAACAGAAATCAACATCAATGTGATTTATAGAAGACACATTACAATGTTTAAGTACAGATTTAAGTGCCTCAAGATGTGGATGACCTAATCTGAGATGCCAAAGATTACATTAAATTGAAGAATTACATGACTGAGACTTATTACATGATGACAAACAAGACATTGGATGCACAGATTTATTAGTTGACACTAAAGAGGCTGGAGGATGGACTGCAGCAGTTTGACATGAACCAAGAGGAATGAAAGGAAACTTGTATAAGCCATCTTCACCAAGTTTTCCATGCAACAAGACTTGTTTAGAAACCTCAGATTTGACATAGCAGTCATGAGGATAAAATTCAAAGAAGACATTATTGTCCTTGGCAAACTGACTAACACTCAGTAGATTTTTGGTTATATGAGGAACATGAAGTATATTATTCAGTAAGAGTGATTGTGAGGAGTGAAAAGGTGAGAGAAAGGAAGAAAAACCTATAGACTTAATATCCAAACCTTGTCCATTGCCCATGAAGAGCTTGTCAGATGTGGCAATAGGCTCACTGTGCTGGAAATTTAGTGGATCTGCAGTAACATGGTGAGTTGCTCCTGTATCTGGAAACCAATGTTGATTAGATGGAATATGACTAGGTACAGAATGATTAGCAGTGACATAGTTTGCAATTGGTGGAGTATTAAAAGGTTGCTGATGTCCCCAGTTGAAGGTTTCAGGAGGTGGAGATGGATTGGTAGGCTGATGATTCCATGACTGATTGGGTTTTGATTGTATAGACTGAGATTGAAAGGTATATGGTTTAGGTTGATGAGTATAATGATTTGGAGGATAGTGAGATTGTGAGTTGGGATTCCAGTAGGATGGAGGTCCAGATGTTTGATTTGGATAATTAGGGTTTTGAGAAGAAGGATTAGGGTTTGGATTGGTATATGCAGGATTGTATCTATGGTAGCAAATCAAGGCATGGTGACCTGATTTTCCACAGACTTGACAAGTGATAGAATTACGTCCAGAGCGACCACCCCTGCCTCTGTAATAGCCACTGCGACCACGTCCGCGGTAAGGATTACCACTATTTGGATTATTATACTGAGAAACATTTGCAGAGGCATTTTCAACAGAAACAGAGATTTCAGATGAATTGTTTTGAGAGGAATTATCAACTTGAGCAACGTTGGCAGAAAATATGCTTTGCTGAGTAGTATCATGATGTTTCTTAAGTCTCATCTCTTTTGCTAGAAGCAAGGACTCAAGTTCAGTTAAGGTAACTGGTTCGAGAATGCTTCGAGACGTTACAGAGGACACAAGAGATTCATAATCTTGCGGCAATCCTTCGAGTATGACATTGATATGATCTTTATTAGAGATCGGTTCACCTACGAGAATAAGATTGTTAACAATTGTCTGAATTCTAAGCAGGTACTCTGAGATGAATCGTTCCCCTTTTCCAGTGTTATAGAGTTCGGACTTGAGCTGCCTCGCCCTAGCAACGATGTTAGCTTGGAAGAAATTGCGAATCGTGTTCCAGAGTTCATACGATCGCTGGCAATGAATAATACGAGCATGTAGAGTTTCAGATAGAGACGAAAGCATCCATGCGAACAACATCTGATCCTGTGAATCCCAGTGAGTGTAAGCATCATTCACAGTTTCATTTCCATCTTCATCTGTGATGAATTGCTCTGGAGTCTTCGAATTCTCTATAAACCGAACAAGTTTGTGCGCGCGAATCACAGACTCAACATGATGCTTCCACAAAAGATAGTTATTCGAGTCTAATTTGATTGGAAGAGGGTGATTGAACGCTACTGGAAAGGCGACACTTCCAGCAGCGGAGGTTGAAGATGAAGTTGAATCAGTTTCCGGCATGGTTGATCGAGCTAAAGCTCTGATACCATATTAGAAAACGAACTCAGATGAAAAGTAGGAGATTTCAATTATATTGATTACAAGAGTCAATACAAGTATTTATAGTAGAATACAAGTAACTAACTCTAACAGCCTGTATAACAGCACTAACAGCCTAAGGTATATCTAGAAGGTTCCAAGCTATTTACAATAAACGTATGTAACATTATTTTATATTCCTAACATAACCCAACTACATAACATAAGCTTGAACAATTAACAAACACCCACTTCATATGCTGATATACCGTACAAAAAACATAAACATCATTCATTTTAAAGGGTCTTTTCCTGAAAAAAGTTATGGAGCAATAATGAGGCAGTACCCTTATATACTTGGTATTTCAATTTATATTGCAGAAGGAGATGGACCAATTGGGTATTTGAATTTGTTTAGTCAAAATAAGATGTGAAGAGATATGTGCTCACCAAGCTGATTCGATGGACAGTCATGAAGTAATTCCAGTTCATGATTTTACGAACTAGTGAAAATGTGCGTGTTTATTCCAGTTCATATATCCCTACTCTTTTATTGGGGATGTATGCATTCCCTTATGTAATTGGAGTTGGTGAACTTAATTTTTTTTCATCAATTAATTAGGGTTTATGTTTACATTTTGGTTGAAATAAGGAACGATTCCTGGTTGAGGATTTAATACTTTTCAGTAATGGGAAAATAACGCAGCATAATAATAACCTAATACGCGGTCAGCCAAACCATATTCTCATATACAGACATCCAAGAGTAAGACTGTAAAAGGACTACTTCCCATAAACGTAAAAGAAAATTTATGTTATCCATTTAACTATAAAAATATTTCTAAACTTGTCATGTCAGCCATTTAAATTATGATGCTCTTTTCGGGCCGCTAAGATCATCATATCTTTCTTTTTTGTCCAGTCTCATCAAGATTGTTTCATACGCAGTATCAAATTTGGTAAGATTTGTGTGATTTTAAATTGTTTTTACTTTATTCTGACCTTATAAATTTAATGTTAGTCATATAAAGTCAATTTTATTTGTAATTTTATTTGTAATTGCATCACCTTCTCCTATATCAATGCTGACGGAGGTAATATTTTTTCTAAAAATTCTACCGTGTCTCATTAAATATTGTATGCACTAGTGCAAACCATTTTGAGTTAATCAAATTATGATATGCTGCACCGTTCACATTCTAGCCATCTTAGTATAAGAAATTGTATATTTTTCATTGTAGTCTTCAAAACAAAGCGATTTTCAAATACTGATAAAGAAGACAATGGAATTGCAACATTACTTTGATAGTTTGATATCCTAACATTGCTATGTTGCATCTTTCAATTTTCAAAGAGAATGTTTGCTCTTGTTTGTGGGAATAAAAAAGCTTGGTTCTACGCCTTCTGTTCCGCTCACCTAGAGGTGGACTTGGGCCGGGTGGCCTGACCTGGAACCGGCCCAGAAGCGGTACTGTTCCGGCTCAGCCTGGCCCGAACCGGTGGCCCGGCCAGGGACCGGTCTGGGTAGGCACGGCCCGGTGGTTTTACGGTGCGGGCTCGGGTCCCCCAAATGATGAACCGACCCGGTTCTGGGCCTTTGTTTTCATTTTTTTTTATTTTTTGGGGTTGGGCTGGGTGTTTTGGGCCATTTGGGGTGGTTTGCGGTGGCGGGGGGTGAGGGGATTAATTAGAAAATTAAAAAAAGAAAAAAGAAGTGGCCCGAGGCCCGGCCAGGCCTGATCCGGACCCGCCAGCCACCCGGGCCGGTTCCGTTTCACACATTTTCAAATAAAAGCCTGGCTGGGCCCAGGTCCGAACCGGAACCGGCCCGAACCAGGCTCGAACTGGAACTGGCCCGGCCCGAGTCCACCCATACGCTCACCATAATCGAATTTTCTCAACCAAAAAGTGGAATCATCCACCCTGAAGCTTCGCACCCTGATTCGACTGAACGGTAGAATAATTGAATTTTCCCTGTAGCAGAATTCTGCAGAAAGCGAGAAAGGATAATTTTTCCTTTTTTCTTCGTCTACAAACTCTGAGGTTTCTTTTTTTCAGTTCCTCGTTATGTTTTAGTTTCTATTACTGATTGAGGGGAAATATTGCAAACTCAGAAATTATTATGCCATGAGAGTCAAGATATGACATGGCATTTCGATATAAATTGATTGGTTAAAGAAACAAATGTGGCAAATTATATTATACACCTGGGTGTACATGTACACCCGGGTGTACATGTATACCCGGTTTTTAAATGACGTGGCCTCTTCTCTTGAAACAAACAGAAGAAATCAGAGATCTCAGCGACCAAGCTCACCATCGGTCTGCTGCTCACCGTCGGAGTTCAACCCCAAGCTCAGCGACCAACGACATAGAACTCGCCAGAAATCAACAACAAAAAAAAACCCGGCAAACAGGGGGAGCAGCGACATGCTTTTACCACTAACTCTCGGTGTTGTCCGCAATCAATCAAACCTTTCCTTCTTGGACGGAGCACCAGGCAAGAGCAACGAATTCCGGATTAAAAAAATCAGCAGCAACTTTGCCTCCGTAAAACCTCTATCCGCTGCGTCAACAAAATTCCGGCCAGCAACATCTTGAGCTCTGCTTCCAATGAATTTCCCCTGCAATGCACCAAAAGAAAAAAAAAGAACAGTAAAGAAGAAAAGTTACCAGCTATTAACTCTGCTTCCAGAAATCTCTGTAGCTATGGGTCTTGAAATCAATGGTGCAAGGATGATTATGCAGACCGCAGGGGTTATATTTATATAAGAGTCCTCTAGAGCATTGGAGTTTTATTAGGATTTTAATTCTAATATGAAGGGCCTCGTAAATTAATCCAACCCTTGTCATCATCGCTCTCACGTGCCAAATGAGCACAATGTTTAAACGAAATGAGTATAGACAAATAAGGATTTGAGCACATTAGCAATTTCAAATGACATTAAAAGTGTTTTAATGCTCATAATAAGTTTGATGCACATTAAAAGTTCATTAATGCCCATTTAACAGAAACTGTGATTTTTATCTCAATAGAGAATGTTTGATGCTCAATGAAAATGTCGTTATGTCAAACTAACAAACTTTACGATTTTCATATCAATTAACATTTTGTAAGTTACGTATGCTCATTTCGTATTGATGTTATGCTCATTTTAAAATGTCATATCAATGCATATTTCAAAAGTATCATATTACACTAAATTCACATATTGAAATTCATAAGAGTGTATTATAGATATAATTTAATAAGATTTTATAAAAGAAAAAATAAGAAAAAGAACAAAAATTAGAAGATATGAAGTTGAGATCGTGTTACTCATTGTTAGCCTCGTAATACTCAATAAAATAGGTTGGATGCTCACTAAACGTACAATATTGCTCATTTAGCGGAAGCCGTGAATTTTTACTTAAATTAAAAATATGCCACCGAATTTTTTTGGCCTTTATTAGTGTTTGGGCCGTCTTACTTACTTGGGCCGGGTGTACGTACACCCGGATGCACTATATACGAATTGAACAAATGTATCAAAATATTCCATGTTAAAAAGTGCACCATACTATTATAGTATTATAGATGATATTTTTCGTAGACCTTGCGATTTAGTCTATTCTATTTATATATAAGAAAAGAAATAGTTCATTCATTAAAATACAATTATGCCCTTAATGAATCTTATGTGTCCATCTCTCCACAATTTACTCATTTCCTATAAAAATGCCACATGGCTTTCTAAACTAACTCACCAAATTTAACTGACATGGCTTTCTATTTGAATTTGAATTCCTATTTGAACAAAAAACGTGGGATCAATTAATTAATGGGGCTCATTGTATAAAAAAATTCCATTTTCTTTAAAGTGTTATAACTTTTTCAGTTTTTCTCTGATTTTTATAAAACATATACCAAAATTCATAATTTTTTACGATCTTTCATATGACACCAATAATGCATATATATAATTTGTAAGGAATAATTGTATTTAGATTTTGATGATGCTAGGCTTATTAGGATATTAGAGTATCCCCATTAGAAAATATGTATTAGATTTTTTCAGTGTTATAACTTTTTTAGCATTTATCTATTTTTTTATAAAAACTATATCAAAATCCATAATTTTTTACGGTCTTTCATATGAAACTAATATTAGATATATAAAATTTAAGAAAAAATGAAGGATTATTAAACAATCTTCCTATTTTCCAACCTCAATACAGAATGTTCGGTATTAAATAAAGAAAATAATTCATGATATAGAAAGTATATCAAAATTCATTATTTTTAACAATCTTTCATATGACATCAAAATTCAATATATAAAATTTAAAAAATATATGAAGGTTTATTAATGTTTTCATTGTTTCTCTAATTTTTTTAAAAAAATCAAATTTCATAAATGTTAGTATTGGCATTGTAAATTCTCTCTCTCATATGTAGTGCTTTTGGGGTATTAGAAGATGAGTTTGCTAACAATTAAGCATGAAATCTTTCTCTCTCATAAGTAGTCTTCTAAGTATAAGATAAGTCGGTAAACAATTGAGCGAAAGAACTTTCTCTCTCATATTAGTGCTTTTAGGTAAGATAAGTCGACTAACAATTAAACGGAAAAATTTTCTTTCTCACATGTAACGCTTTTAGGTATCAGAAGATAAGATTGCTAACAATTGAGTGGGAGAACTTGATCTCTCATAAACAGTTCTTTTAAGTATAAGATAAGTCGGCTAACAATTGAGCGGAAGAACTTTCCCTCTCATATGTAGTGCTTTTAGGTATAAGAAGATAGGTTGACTACAATTGAGCGGGGAAATTTTTCTCTCATACGTAGTACTTTTAGGTCTTACAAGATAAACTTGCTAATAGTTGTGCATGAAAGTTTTCTCTCTCAAATGTAGTTCTTTTTAATACTACTATAAGATAAGTCTGCTAACAATTGAAGGGAAGAATTTTCTCTCTCATATGTAGTGTTTTTAGGTATAAGAAGATGATAAGCCGACTAACAATTGAGCGGAAGAATTTTCTCTCTCATATGTAGTGTTTTAGGTATTAATATCAGAAGACATGTAGTGCTTTTAAGTATAAGATAAGTTGACTAACAATTGAGGGGAATATTTTTCTCACTCATATGTAATGCTTTTAGGTATAATAATAAAAAGAAGATAAGCTTGCAAATAATCTGGACTAATAATATTTTTCTCACTCATATGCAATGCTTTTAGGAATATTTTTCTCACTCATATGTAGTGCTTTAGGTATAATATAAGCGGACTTATAATTGAGTGGGAGAATTTTCTCTCTCATATATAATAGTGCTTTTAGGTATAAGAAGATAAACGGACTAATAATTCAGCATGAAAGTTTTCTATCTCATACGTAGTGTTTTAGGTATATAAGATAATTAAGCGGACTAATAATTGAGCAGGAGAATTTTCTTTTTCATATGTAGTGTGGTTAGGTATAACAAGATAAATGGACTAATAATTGAGCGGGATAATTTTCTCTCTCATACGTAGTGATTTTAGGTCAAAGAAGATAAGCCGGCTAAAACTTGAGCAGTAGAATTTTCAGTTTCATATGTTGTACTTTTAGGTATAAGATAAGATAAGAAGGCTAACAATTCAATGGGAGATGTTTCTCTCTCATACGTAGTGCTTTTTAATTAGGTATGAGATAGTTCGGCTAAAACAATTGAGCGGGAGAATTTTCTCTCTCATACAAAGTGATTTTAGGTATAATAAAGAAGATAGACCGGCTAAAACTTGAACGGGAGAATTTTCTCTCTCATACGTAGAAGTGATTTTGATTATAAGATAATCTCATAAGCTGACTAAAAATTGTGCGAATGAATTTTCTCTCTCATACATAGCGCTTTTAATTACTCCATCCGTTTCTAAAAGAAACTCAAACTTTCCTTTCTGAGATGTTTCAAAAACAAAGTCACACTTCTCTTATTTCCTTATTTCGCAAAGAAATCTGCATCCAAATAGTGCCAAACAGTGTCAAACAGTGTCCAAACAGTGTCAAGCAGTGTCTAAACAGTGTTTTCTACAGTAAAGTCAATTTATTTCCCTAATAATCGGGAAGTCAAACCGTGACTTTCTTTTGGAAACAGAGGGAGTATAAGATAAGTCGGCTAAAATAATTGAGCGGGAAAATTTTCTATCTCATACGTAGTGCTTTTAGGCATAATAAAGAAGATTAGGTATGAGAAGTATAGGTATATAATAAGCTGGCTTAAACAATTGAGCGAGAAAATTCTCTCTCTCTCATATGTAACGCTTTTAGGTATAATAATAAGATAAGATAAACATATTAATAATTGATCGAGAGAATTTTATATCATATTTTGTCTCATGACCTTTTAAACTTATGAGAAGACATTTTTCTATAATTATCACCAATGTTATGACAATCAATAAATATCAAGCTCTACCACTGCAAAAAGAAAATATTCCTACCTAGACGTATTTTAGTCATGTAAAATTTATATGTGGCGTTATAGAGAGAGTTCAGAAGACATGTATTAATGGTTTTAATACTGGATACATGATAAGAAAAAAAATCACAAGTCATTACTACTATAAGTTCTCTTAAGGCAGTTTTTCAAAACTCTAACAATTAAGTTCAATATTTCACTCTTTTACCAACATCACTAATTATTATTACGTAGTAAATTTTAAAGGATGATGTCGTTTTTTTATATTTTAATTTTCTTTTACTTTAAATATTTGTTGTATGGATTTATGCTTTTTTATATTCACTTATCATACTCCATTTTTGAAATGAAGTAAATTGTAAGAAAAAAATCTATTTTTATATTTAATTAGATCATGAATAAAAGTATATGTAGATCAACCATTTTTTCCCGTGCGTATGCACGGGTATTGTGCTAGTGGAATCACGAAAGACAATTAAGTAAAGAGAGAATTTTTAAAATAGGACTAAAAGACGAGACAATTGCAAAAACATGACCTATTGTTTTAATTTTCCTAAATATGACTAAAAAATTGTGTTTGGACAGGAATAGCCTTAATGAAACTGTCGTAACATTTTATGCGCATCCCATCCTCCAGCCATGTGCTGCAGCCATCACCCAAACATGTGCGGCAACATCTTCCAGTGTCTCAACTGGGTATCCTCCAGCAAGTTTGCCGCCTCTGCTGAGTTTCCCGCCACCATCCTCGACGAAGCCACCGTTCTCCGACAAGTCCCTGCAACCTCCATCGAGAATGCCACTTGATATGCGAGAATGCCACTTGGTATGCATAATGACACAATAATCACAATTTCGTATAGAATCATGACATTCTCAATATGGCAATTTTAAATACTGTAATGACATAAAAGAGACATTTTTCAAATAATCATTAATTATGACATTTTCTTATTCAACAAGTGTCATTTTTTTGAGAATCATTAGTCATGATATTTTGAGGTTCAAATTAATTAAAAGTGATAAGAAAAAATTCAAGTTGAGATATATCCTATTACTTATCCTGTTTGGAAATCTAGCTCTTCATTTGAGTAATAAAATTACATCTTTATAAAGTGACTAGCATAAAAATGACACTATTTTATCAAATGGGCCAAAAAATGCCATTTCATATATTTGAATTTCAAGGTGAACTTGTCAGTTTAATATATTTGTGACATTTTTTCAATTCAATTTTAAATAGTTATGAAATTTTCAAATTCAAAAATAATAAAATAAATTAAAAATCCAATAGTTTTTTTGAACATTTGTTGCTCAAAACTTGTTCAATTCCCATCCCCTCCAACCTTATTCAATTGCCATCCAATTTATCAGATCTAATTGAATCTCAAGGGACAAAAACAGAACATGACCAAGAAGGAAGTGGAAGAAAAGAAGAGGAGAAAAGATGAGAAGAGAAGAGAAGATAGAAGAAGAAATTACTTGATTCCACGGGATAAATTGCAGAAGGCTAGCGGAGATGGAGAAGTCTAACGGTTGCTATGGTTGCGGTACCGACGAGCGGGGGATATAATTGTTGTACCGACGAGCAACGGCAGCGGCGATGGAAGACTGGAAAATCGCCGGTGAACTTGTCGTGACGTCTCTGATGAGGAAGGAGTAGACAACAACTCCTAAACCGGGAAGATGCAGATCGCTAATTTCTAATATGTCGGAGGCGATGATGTTAGATTGAATTAGGGGAAGGGCAAAAATGTAATCTGGAGTCCTATTTAGAGATAAATAAACTTATACTCTTATTTTGGAGTTTTGACAATGTTTTAGTCCCATTTTGTACAATTTCTTTTAAGTAAATTTGGCTTGGCTTTAATGAACAAAATAAATGTCGCTATATTGAGCATCCTATTCCTACTCCTGCACCAGAAAATGAGGCCGTTCAC